TCCTCTTTCTATGTGGAAGAAGCTTTTTTCCGAAAGAGCTCTTTTCGGAAAAAGGCATGTGTGGACGGAGAAGAGGGAGTTCTTTTGAAAGAAGAGGAAAAAGCACAGGTGCCATGGTGGCTACTCCATCCACAGTCATCACAGCTTAAAAATGCGAGATAGTGTGGATGCTTTCTTTTGAAAAAGTAGACTGCTTTTTCAATGCACTTTTGCTGTGTAGACACTCTCTTTCAGAAGATCTCTTCTGGAAAATCTTCTTCCAAAAGAAGCCTGAAGTCTAGACATAGCCTCGCACTGGGAAACCCCTCCCACCTGCTGTGAAGCCATGCCTTTGAAGTGAATCCGTTCTGGCATGCTGGAGAAAGACAAATATGGGTATATTTCATCTATACTTATGAGGGGGCCTGTATATGGTACTGCAAAAGTGGAATACAAGCTGACCTTGGTGACTCTGAATGTACATGAGGCCCAGATCTGTTGAGTTGTCCAAGTCCTGCTGGCAGGCCTGTTTCTGATTACACCATGTTTTAAGTCAGGAATAACACTGATATTACAGTAAAATTGCTGTTAAAAAACAACCACCCCAGAATCAAGCCTTTTGAGTGGGCTTCAAGTGGTGCAGAACTAGCACATTTCTGCCCCCTTGCACTTGGGGAAGCACCTTCCCAACTGCTATGTGCCCCAAAAGATGCACCCTATAAGCAGAACAAACTTAAAAAACAACAAATAGTCTGGTAGCACTTTCTAGACTAACAAAGCATGTAGATGGTATTATGAGCTTTCATGGGCATAGCCCACTTCTTCATATGACCGGAGTTACTGTTTGCACATTGCAGTAGCACTGATACAATTAAGGACTTCCACTACAAATGAAGACACTCTGCCTTCTTAAGTTGCATTCTTTTGTTAGCTGCATTTATTATTCTGAGGGCTGCTTTTCAGTGGTTATGATTTAGGTAATCATTGTCCTGTAGGAAGCTGAATCACACGCAAAGTAGACGGGAAGGGCCAAACTCTCCTGTCAGTTATATTCCAGTAGGAGTTATGTGGGCACAATACACCTGATGATTTAGCCCAGTACCAGAAAGTTATATTAACAGTGCTCATTGAGCCTGATAGAATGACTCATCTATCCCATACAGCAATACATGCACATTGCCAGTGAGTCTGCACATGTGGAATAAAATTTATGAGGCTAATTTGCCCTATTACTTGAAAAAGATTGTTCTCTCCACTCTAATTAAAGTGTACCTGAACCTTTTATCAGCTGTCTAGACTGTTATTCCCTTGATTTTTTTACCTATATGCTTCCCTCCCCCGCTTTCTTCCTTGAGGAATTTGTTTTATATCAGTTTTTGGAAACCAATTTCTTTTTCTAAAGAAACTCCTGAGCCTTCTTATCAGTGTTTACACTATAAGACACAGAGCAACATTTTAGTAGGGCAACTGTTCAAGGGAGTGACAAATCTCATCTGTTTGACAGCATTAGAAATTAGTTCCCATTAGAGGAGGGCAAATAGCCCAGGGTGGTGGTGGGTGGGGGGAGGTGGGAAAGCATTTATACACAGTGTTGATGCGTTCTGACATTCTTTCTTAATTTGGATGGATTTTGACCTGCTTTTTTTGGAGAGTCCCAGTCAGATGTTGCTGACTATCCAGATTTGGATTAGAACTGTGCAAAGCATAGAAGGATGGGCTTTTTCCACAAAAAAAGAAATCTTTTCAGGCAGCTAGGTGCACTGGACAACTCCTTGTTCCTGCGGGATGAGCAGTATTCTACTTCAGTGTTTCCCCAATGGTGTTCCACGGAACCCCAGGGTTCCGCAAAGTGAAAAGAAGGGTTCCACGAGAAAATTCCATTATAACAATATTTTATGATTTAAAAAAATAATTGATATTTAAGCATTTATGAATTTTATTGAAAACAATTTTCATTTGTATTTGCCACGATAAGTATCCCTGTGTAATGCCAGCTTAGCCAGAGAGTGAGGATGATGATGTCACTACTCAGCGCTGTGCGCGGTCAGTCAGTGGTTAGATCGCCCGTTATATACAGAAAATAATACAGAAATCAATTTAATGCCACACCAGATATGTGAATCCAACTTTCCAGTATTAAACCAAAAATAAAAAAAAAATTGCCAAGAAATGAAGAAAAACCACTCTTCGCATTGAAAACTGCCAATAATAATGCATTTTAGTTTTTGAACTTTTTTTGTACACATTAAATGTGATTTTTGTTTTTAAATATGTTCAATTAAACTAAATGTTGATCTCATGACCTTGTTTAGCACTTGTTTATTATTATCCCTACTTATTTGTGGTCTACTTTTTCAGCTCCATATATGAGACTGTTATTAGGGGTTCCACAAAATTCTTTCGAGTTTAAAAGGGTTCTGTGAGCAAATAAAATTGGGAAACACAGCTGTAGTTCCAATCAGAAATATACTCTCTCAGGGTGTGTCTAAACTACATGGCTCCATCGATGGAGCCATGTAGATTAGGCTGATCGGCTGATCGGCAGAGGGAAATGAAGCCGCAATTTAAATAATCACGGCTTCATTTAAATTTAAATGGCTGCTGCGCTGAACTGACAAACAGCTGATCAGCTGTTTGTCGGCTCAGCATGCTAGTCTGGACGCTCCCGCGCCGACCTGAAAGCCCTTTATTGACCTCCCCGTTATGCCTCGTAGGATGAGGTTTACCGGGGAGGTCGATAAAGGACTTTCATGTCAACGGGGGAGCGTCCAGACTGCCCCGATCTGCCGACAAGCAGCTGATCGGCAGAGCGGGGCAGCCATTTAAATGTAAATGAAGCCACAATTATTTAAATCGCGGCTTCATTTCCCTTTGCGGAACAAACAAAATCTACATGGCTCTGTCGACGGAGCATATAGTCTAGATGTACCCTCACATACGCATCCTTCCCCCCAGGTTCTTACCCCAACTAAGCTCAATTTCCCACTCTTATCACAACTGGTGCTTTGTCATTATTCTTCCTTTCCAGTACTGGTTTGTTTAAGCATCAGAAATGAACAGTTTAATGGAAACCTAAAAATCCCCAGCCTTATTTGCCAGGCTGACCAGTTCATTGTGGCCCCAACTCCCTTTTAAGGATTTCCCCACACTTATACCCCTCACTGTCAGGAGCTCCAGCAAGGCTTCTCTCTCTGACTGATAGATTATTTCATTCTGAATTGCTTGTTCCTTCAGGCTGTGCCTTGAAGTCAAGTAGAATGTCCATAGGTATGCCTGCATTGCAGTGAGACACCAGAGCTGACCTGTGCCTGCAGGCTTGGGCTCAGGGGCTTTTACTGAATTGTAGGCATTTGGGCTCAGGTTGTAGCCTGACCTCTGAAGCCCAAAATTCGACACTGTAATTGAAGAGTCCCTTAGCCGTGTCTTCGAGACCTCAAACTAGCTGGTGTGGGCCAGCTGTAGGTTTTTAATTGCAGTGTAAATATGCGCTCTGTGTAGAGCAGTTCACACAGACCTCCTGTATCTTTGAACTTCTCTCCAAACTCAGCAGTCTCATTGAACTTAGGCTCTTTATACCTCCAAGCATCCTCCCTCCCCCATCCTGTGACCCTGGACTCATTCCAGGACTGGGCTAAATCTACCAAGGTGGAGCTGGGTCCCTCGCCCTTTAAAAGATCAATTCCTCCTCACACAACATGATTAATGTTAAGTATTTGTGTAGGCCCACGGAAGTCGGTAGGACTACTCCTCTGTGGGATATGTGTAAGTGCTTTGGTGAACATAGGAAAGAGATGCAGCATCTAGGTGGACTCAGCCACACTGTCTTTTAGCACTCAGCAAAGTTTGATAAAAGGGCCATTTTTGGGTCAAAAAATCCATACACCACACAAGTATAATAGGGTTTGGAATCAGCGCCAGTATGATTAAAAAAAGGAAAAATATACATGAAATTATAACTCTTATGAGCCACAGAGACCCATTTACTCCGGTTTATTTAGAAAAAGGTCAGTCAAAATTGTTCTGGTTTTGCATAGCAAAAGAATAGTCATACGTTTTACCTAAAATAAGGCTGAGGAAAACAAAAATAAAAAGGCATGCTTCTACGAATGTGCACAGCATGCAAGTCGCCTTAACAACAAGTGACAGCTGCTCAAAGGACAAAATGGCTTCAGTAGGCTAGGCAGATTCCACAAAAATGTAAAGATACAACATACTAGGACCTGGTCTGGGCTACAGGTCTTGTGCAGATTATACTTGTAAATCTGAATACTGGATGAACCTAGATTAGGATATGATCCCATAATGCCTTAAAAATGTATTGTCTTCTAATGCATGAGGTTAGAAAACAAGCATAAATTTCACTTAGTGATTTCTACAATAAGCCTATGAATTCTGATTGAACTACAGTATTAGAAAGACATCGAAACTGGATTTAAAGACTTCAGGTAAGAAGGAACACAGCATAAATAAAATATTCCAATGGTTAATATCCCTCACTTAAAGCGTAGCAACTTACTTGCTGTGTGGAGCCATCAGCAGGCCTGAATTGCACACTGCTATATCATTCATACACACCAGTTTTTCCACACAAAAAAAATGAAGACAATTTGAATCTGGCTTCTCAAGGACATTTATTAACATGTCTCTCCACAGTGTACACGACTGTGCTACTATCGTACTGTTCAAGCACCTCAATACACTTGAGCATCCATCCGCATTGTTTCTTACTCAAGCATATAAGCAATGCCATTGAATTTAATAGAACTATTTACGAAAGTACGGCAGGAGTAGATGCATCAGGCTCATCATGAGAGAGCTCAGTTTCATGCTTTTTTTGTGGCAGGACAGGTGGATAATACCAGAACACAAATTCAAATGCTCACACATGTATGTTTTCACTTCTTTGAGGAAAACAATACAGGAAATAGGCAATTTGATATCGAGGTTATAAGAGCCGCCTCCACCACATTTCCTGTTCGTGAGTGTGCAAGGAACAGATGTCAAGACTTCAGATCGAACAGAAGTCTTTAGGTACTTACTCAAATAGCCAGGCCAAAGCAAAACAGCACATCAGCATCTGCCAACATTTTAAACCAAATTTTGTTTGAGATAAGGGAGCGGTCTTGCTACAAAAACAGGTATGTTTCTTCTTTCTTATCTCTCATTTCTGGTTGTAATGTACAAAAAAAAAAAAGTGTGTTTCAATAGCTTACAAACCCCCTGAGTGTGTTGCTTAGAGACTCAAAGGTTGAATATTAATACTAATGAGTCATCGTCATAAACCTTTGTTAATCTCCAGCTAAGTGGGCCAAAGTGCATGAAGATTTGTTGAAGAAACATTGGTATCATTTTTAGGCTTAAAATATTTGCCTTCACAGAGGGATCTAATTTTGCTGTGTGCTTTTTGCCCCTTCTGAAGTATGAGGTTTATATCTTAAAAAGCAATTAGCCATGCTCTAATTAACTACAGTTTAAGGACTCCTTTCCAGGGAATCTATCCTGTCTTTAAAGTTCATGGCCATGGAAGCTTTATTAGTGTTAATTTAACATTCATCAGTCACTTAATGGATTTTTTGGGTAAGGGTCATTACTACAGAACATCACCTCACTGTTTAATTGGAAAGAATATTTTCTTTTCACAGACAAAGCCAAAATTTACTTTGCACAGAGAAGCAGAAGGGCCAATGGAAGCAACAAAATCCAGAGCTTTTTACCCTTCAAATCACCCCTTAAAATCTGGATCATATTATTAGCGACCAAAAAAGTGATTCTATACATTTCCCTATGATACCAGGTGTTTGTGCATGTTGCGAATCTAGTTCCAAGTGGACAGAGGTCTCCATGGGGAATCCTTCATTAGAAGGGATATTAGTTAGTCTGTTCAGTTCTTGTAACTGGGACTGCTATGAAGGAAGAATGAACTGTCTGATCCTGTTTAGAGATATCATCTTGTCAGGTACATACAAGCAATGCGGCAGAGCATGTTTCTGCAGCAGCCCAAGTTATAGCTATCCAGAGACTAAATAAATGATTTCCTGTGAAAGGTGGAGAACTGACCAATACCCAATACATTCTGTAAAAGCTTTGTTGTGTTTCTCCTTTTTCAGATTATATCAGAGCTGATGAGCAGGAGTTCAGACAGTAGATTTTTTAAAAAATTGTAATTCTAGTGAAGTGGACTCTGCAAACAGGACAAGATATGCAGAAGGTGCCCAACAAGTGGAATCTGAAAAGGGAAAAAAGCAATTGCATTGCCAGAAAAATATTTTAAAATAATTGTAAACATGTTGTTAGTACTATGATAGTACCATTGATGCACAACACACTAAAACCAAGGACAGACTCTGCCCTGAAGATCAATAGCCCTTTCGGTAAAAACAACCCCCCCAAAAAACTCCATACAGGCATTATCTGAATTGTTGAAATTCATATGCTAAATGGACCAGAAGGAAGTGTATGTTACATTTAATCTTACCTCTCAATTTGACCCTTTGTTTGCAAACCAGTGACCCCTTGGCTGAGGGAAACAGTAGAGTAGCACAAGTGACGGCATAAATTAAGGAGCGATCCAAATGCAAAATGTTTCATATACAACCATGTAATGTATAAATATAAGGTGTAAATATTGAAACCAGAATTCCTGGTTCTTATTTGTTTTATGAAGCTCTTTGGGTCACTTTGTGATTCTCTTCCACACATACAGAGGAGCATGTTGTTCCAAAAACAGCCCAATTGAATTTGATAAGATTTGTACCTCAAGCAAGCTACTTCTGAGAGCAAACACACATTAAGGGCTAGATTCTAATATGTTTGTCAGAGTCTGAAAATGATCCTAGAAGCCCTTGATGAAATTGCAGATTTATTACAGTCAAACCATGGTTATTATTCCTACAGGCCTTCTTTGACCTGAGGCATTTTTTAGAAAACAAAACAAAAACCTCCATCGTTTCCATCTTTTGTCTTGTTTTTAAAGGGGGTTCAGCTTGATTACACTTATTTACATATAGATGGAGAGAATGCCAGCAAATGTGGTGATAAAAATCTTTAAAAAACAATCTCTCACCTACCCAAAATGTACTTTTTTTGCGATATATAACAGTAGAGGATGTCTCTAATTTTAATTTTCATCCACATCAGTCTACAGTCCAATTCAAATGATGATGAAATCACAAATATTATGACATTTCTTTCCATTTCTTTCACTTTTTGACCTCAGTATTTTGGGGGGGGGGGGGTTTGGACATGTTTTGCACAGCAAGTCAATTTTGCAGACTACACTTGCTAGCACACAGAGAGAATTTCAATTATTGTAATTCTTTTGTTAACAGAGATATTTGTGTTTCCCTACCACTGTCACCAAATTTGTATATATTGAAATAATTCACTTTGAATGGTAAATATCTGCAAGAGTCTATTGCAAGCATGTGGGCAATGAAGGAACAGATAAGCAAGAGAAGGGGAATGTATCTATAAAATTAGGGATGTGAAAATGCAAGATTTTGACCATTTTCTGTTTAGACAGTGAGACTGGCTGGAAATGTACATTTAAAAAGGATACAAGACACTGAGAGGCACTCCTAGGACTTTATGGATACCTTAAGGCTCATTGTTCACAAAATATAAAAAGAAAATTGGCTGACAAGAGATCAAATATATGTTCACTTATGTAAGAGATTAAAGATTCAGAACAGAAATGTCATGTATATGTATTTATATTTCCAGCTTAAATAAAAAGCCAACCAAAGAATGTTTGATTGAGGACTATAGAGAATAATTTTAAAAGTCTAAATTTTAAAAAGTCATCTCCTGAGGAAAAAGTACAATTGGGTGTGTTCCCCCCACCCTTAAGTATTTTTTATGCAGTTAAAAAAGGACTTGCAAATTGTGGGATTTGGGGTTATTTATTGTCTGGTTATCTTTTTACATAAGCAGTTCTGATCTCCTGTTTTTGCTAGGGGATTCTAAAGACGTAGGAGGCTTGCAACAGCTTGAAATGCCAAGGAAGTCAAACCTCATGAACTGGGAGAAATGCGTTTTACTTAGTGTTAAATATTGGTTTATTATTAATGCCACATTAAATCAAATGCCCCTCCCCCAAAAACAACCCTGCTGGGAGAACAGCTCGTGTTCAGGGTTTGATAACCTCTGTCTCCTCAGCGAGGGGCTGAGAACACTCAGTCCCCACCTCAGATTTTTCTTTCTGCTCCAGCAAAGCCAGCGAGAATTAAAAATCCCCAACATTCTGAAATGAAAGAGCAAGCTGGATTTTTTGTTAGTTTTTAATTTCAGGCCTTTTCTTTAGAAAGGGGCACCATCTCAGCCTTTTTATTGGGGGGGAAGCCATCTTAAACTCACTCCAAATCTTTCCAGTGAAGGGCAAAGTGACATTTTTAAGCTATCAGTTTCTATTAGAGCTCCTTATATTTTCCTCCCTCTCAGGCTCCACCATTTCCTTTCTCCCCACTTCCTGGCAATCAAATGGAAGTGGAGAAAATGAAAAAAAAAAAAAAAAGCATAATGAAATGTTGGGAGGGGAAGAAGGGCAATAAGTATCTTCAGAAAAAGCGAGATGACAACAGGAATAATGATGGCTTGGGGATTAAGATACTGGACTGCAACCCAGATATTCAGCATTCATTTCCTAGCTCTGCCACAAGTCATCTTATGTGACCCTACGCAAGTTCAGGGGAGATTTTCAGGAGACCCAACGCCCATTGTGTTCCTTGGAAGCCTTAATTCCCTTGTCCTCATTTCTTCCTATGGAAGGAAGGGAGGTCTGAAGTCCAAGTTCATTTATACCTATTACTGGCTTTAAGGTCATCGGCGTTCAGAAAGCATAGCAAAGGAAGGCCTAGAAATATCTTAGGCAGGCAAAACTGTCATCCCAGGAAATTGAGGCCCAAAGCATGTGTCAGACACACTGCAGAGTAACAGGAGAACTCTCACACGTGACAACTGTGATCTGACTGCATCAGTGTGTCTGATGGGAGAAGGAAATAGAATAGGGCCACTTGAAATCAGCGCTGTACTTTTGAAGGAAGTGCATTTTCTTGATTTAAATGCAGGGAGGTTCCACAACCCATGTGAAGGAATGCTAGAATGAGAGAGCGAGAGAGAGAGATGGAATCAGAGGGAACAATGTGGTCATTGTGCTCAAAATATTCCACACAGTGTTGACTAAGTAACAACTTAGCCCCATGTGCTGGCAAAGCTCTGTGCCCGTGTGAAGACCCATTGATTTCCCTGAGTCCCAGGGAAAAAAAAAATCACAGGTTTCCTCTATGCCTGTTTCCTTGTACTATCAGGACCTTAATCGAGAGAGTTACCTGAAGTCTAGGTATCAAGCTAATTAGAAGGACCCGTGGCTGTCAATGAAGAAGTCATGTCAGCTAGTGGTTTCAGCAAAGGGCTGGGAAGCAGAGCATTCTAAAAGTGGCTATGCCATACTGTTTTAAGGAGGTCACCAGGACTGATTTAGACTTGCTGGGCCCATGGTCAAAGCCCAAGCCACATTGCCTGGGACTGAAACCAGAGGACTTCAGCCCTGGGCAGCAGGTTACACGCCCCTTATCTAAGGCTAAAATGCTTTGGCTCACCCACATGGGACAGCAAGGCTCAGGTTTTCCTGGGGTCATGTAGTAACTTTTGTTGTGAGATGAGGCTTATGTTGCTATGCAGTTTGAGAACTTAGCACCCTGGATACCCAGATATCCAAGGGGAAGCTTCAAAGGATTTAAAAAATAAATAGAGAGAGAGAGAGAGAGAAATGGAATTTGGATCCATTGAATTGAAATGGAAAACGTTTCCAAAGGAGAAGAGGGCATGGGATAGAAGGGCACCAAGCTGCCTCAATGCTTCCTTATCCCATTATATGCACAATTAGCACTGGTTGGCTCTTACTTAGGCTTCCTTTGAAGCTAGTGCTGTTAAGATCTGCCCCAGAAACCCTTTGGATGTCTGTAGACCCCAAGGTGCTCATTTTTTTATAGTTCTGAGTCTTTAGCTTCTCTGCCCATTCCTACTGCCAGGTTAGAACGCTAGTCAGGAGAAGATGACAGTTTTTGCTAGGGGAAGAGGGAACAACAGGATCTATATATTTTTCCACAGGAAAGGAGATGTGGAGAGGGTGCAGAAAATATGAAGATGCAAGACTGGCCAATAAATCCTAGTGGCTCCTTTGGGGGAAAAAAAGGTCCCAAAATAGACCCCCAAAAAATCACGAAATCATTATGCCTCTTTAAGGACAACTCCCAGTGAAGCCAACAGCAACTCTGCCTCCGGCTTCCTATAGTCAGCCCCTGGTCAGTTTCAGTGGCAGCAGCTGAATCTGGAGCCAGTTCCGACTTACATACAAATTCAACTTAAGAATAAACCTATAGTCCCTATGTTGTACGTAACCCGGGGACTGCCTGTATAGAGAATAAAGGCTTGCCTACCCAGGGAGTTATTCCAGAATACCTATTCCCTATTAGCTCTGTGTGTGAATGCTCATATTCCAGAGTTAGTTTAAACTAATTTGAAATAAGGCACTCATTCTGGAATAAGAGTGCCCACACATGGAGTTAATTAGGAATGCTTAATTGGCTTTCAATTCACTCTGTACTTTTTTTCCAGTTTAATTTTCATGTCTGGACAAGCTTTTAATCAGTATTTGGCTCACCAACCCATGTCACAGAAAAGCTAGCAGTTTCTAAAAGCAAAAAAAAATCTCTTTTGCATTTATGTGGTAGAAGAGCTTGTCTATGTTCCTAGTACCTTGGCTACCATATTGATAGCCACATTTTGGTTTGACCAAGAATGGGCTTAAGTTTCATCACTATGGGTACATCTACACTTGCACCCTAGTTCAAACTAGGGATGCAAATGTAGGCGACCGAAATTGCTAATGAAGCGGAGATTTAAATATCCCACGCTTCATTAGCATGATCTTGCCGGCGCGTTACTCCAATCAACAGCTGTTCCGAAAATGAAAGTGTGCACCGGGATGCGTTAGTTCGAACCAAACCCCTCGGTTCGAACTAACATTACTCCTCATTTCTAACTATTGCATCCCAGCGTGCACTTTCATTTTCGGAACTGCTGTTGATCGGAGTAACGCGCCGGCAAGATCATGCTAATGAAGCGCGGGATATTTAAATCCCTGCTTCATTAGCAATTTTGGTCACCTACATTTGCATCCCTAGTTTGAACTAGGGTGCAAGTGTAGACGTACCCTATGAGTAGTTTATCAACACTAGTTTCCTACTTTCTGGCATCCAAACAGTCCCACTACTGTTTAGTTGGGTTACATGTCAGTGGCAGTGTCTACAATAAAAAATGAAATCAACTGAAGTGTAAAGTGT